TAATAACAATAATAATAGCAACAACAATAATAATAACAATAATAATAACAACAACAATAATAGTATCATAATAACAATAATAATAGCAACAACAATAATAATAACAATAATAATAATAATACAGCGGTTGTGTCTCACCTGGACTGTTGTTCAGGGCTGAGCTGACGTCTGATTCAAGTCTTGATACAACAGGACAGAAGACCACACAGTAGTCACAGTCCTCAGGACTTACACTTTCACTGTGACCAGAGTTTGTCAACATCTTCACAATCTTGTTGTGAGTGTTGTTAGTTTGTCCCGCCACAAAGACGTAGAAGGTTTTCCAGGGCACTGGAGACAAACATAAAGAACGTTGGATTCATTTTTGAGCTTTGACTTGTTTTCATTGAAAAATGAAGCGGTCCTAGGGTTTTTACTGCAGTCTGAGTGTAGTCTCTTTACAGTGTGACTTCAGCCTGACTACAGTCGGACTACACTCTGAACACACTTTCATTTCAGTACTTAGTGCAAACCTAACAGTGCTGTAGTTGACCATCGTTGTATTCATTCTTTTAAAGACCAGTTGAATTTGATGCAGTTGTTTTTGTATTGATTCATTTAAGGAGCTGTAATATCTGTTTGTTAAGACTCACTTCTGTTCATTTCCTTTTGGCTTTTTCTGAAAACACACAGACAGACACAGGCAGAGACAGAGGCAGTTAGTCAAAATAGCAGTTCCAGTGGAGGATTTGACAGAGTAAAGAACTGTGCTGTACTTACTGTAAAGTCTGGTAGTTTCTCTGTGAAGACATGTCTGTGGTCCGTGTGTCTGCTCCAGTCTTTGGTCTTTACTCTGGCCCCTCCCTGTCACTGAAACACTTTCACTTTCATTATTACACAGCCTGACATCACCTCTGTGTTAAAATAATAATCCAATCCTTCTCTAGTCCTGGTGGTGAAGCCACAGCTGATATTATGTTCTTTCAAAACCACATCAGACAAACAGCCGTGGATCTGACTTCAGTGAACGATATTTTTTAGTCCATTCCTTATCAAACACTCGGCACTGACCATCAACTTTGCTTTTTGTTGACCTGCTCATTTTTATTGTTGCGGTTGGAAGTTTTAACAAAGTGAAAAAGTGAGGTAGAGAGTCACCTCCCTCCTGGGTTGTGTCACCTATTGGAGAAACGTCGGCATTACAGGAAAAAGGCAACGACAGAGGTCAAATGATAATATAATTTAATGATATGTTTTGGATGGCGACCAAGAATAAAAAGGTCTAATGGGTGGTATCCGGCCCTCAGGATGTATTTTTCCCTTGTCTGTTGACCATACAGACATCAAAGTAATATTGAAATACTGAGCAGTTACAAATTTCCAGGTTCGTTTTTAATTCTTCTGGAGCTTCTTCTTCTTCTTCCTCTTCTTCTTCTGACTCTTTCTTCGTCTTCTTCCTCTGACTCTGACTCTGGATCAAACCTCAGGTTGGACCTCAGCTTGTTTTTTCGCTCTCCTGACAGTTTACGATACTCAAAAGGAAAACATTTGCATGTATTTGGAAAGGTGGGCAGGGCCTGCAGTGTCTCCTCAGCCTCTAAAGGTAAAGACACTGAACTGTGTTACAGCAGTGTGTAAAGAATCCAGCTGTGATCAGTCCTTTATTTTTTCCACCGAAACATATCGCTAACATTTTGTTTAGGCTAGAACAGAACCAGAACGTCACCTTTAAAAGATTAAGTTTAGTTATTTTTATACATTGGTTTTAGAGAAGACAGGACTTCTTATGTTGGACAACCTGAGGTTTAACTTTACACCAGGACAAACAGATACAGGAGAATGTCAGGACATCAGTCATCTGAAACTGTAATGATAAATCACCGACTAATTATTTTTGGTAAATTTCTGCCCAGGAAATGTGTTGTCCACACATTTTTAACTATTTTTGGGGGGATTTATCACGTATATAGAGATTCTGTCCTTCATTCTGATCAGTTTGAATTATTATAATTATGATGTCACTTAAATCCAACAGGTGGTTAGAGGTGATTTATATCAAGTGACTCAGCCGCCTTCCCCACAGAGAACGTTCATGATGGCAGTGACCAAAGAGTTTGGCTGATGTGCTGTCACCAGTGCTGCAGTTACAGGAGGTGTTACACCTGGTTTTAAAGCAGATGTAATTAGTGTGTAATAGGTGTTGTTTGAGTCTTTCCAAGCGTCCAAAAGCTTTTGAAGTTGAAAATCTTCTTTGAGCTGTCTTCCAACCCCAAAAACCTCAGAATTTTTGAAGATGCCTCGTCGTTTGTGTTGCACTTCAGCAGCTGGTCTTTGTAGAAAAGACAGTCAACGGTGAGGTGGACGGTAGGATTCTCCACAGATCTGCGACTTTGAATGAAAATGTACTCAGGGTTGAAGGTGTAATGCATCACCACCAGGATGATGGGTTTACCAGCTGTGAACAGGAAGACAGCAGAACAAAATGAACATTAACATGAAGAAACCTGGATTTCACCAGAGGGGTATACGACCAAGTAGGCTTAACTTAGCCAGGCTTTGAGTTCATGGTCTGCCCCAACAAACCCTAAAGCTCCGATCAGAGTTAACTGTTACCGTGGCAGTGGTTATCAACTTGATTTGCCAGGTCTGAATTTCAGCTTTGCGTTCTATGTGCATTCACATAAAAGTGAGTAAAATGTAGCGATCCCAAACAGTTTTCAACATATGTCACAGAAGAAGGTGAAGGTTATTATAATTCAAAGTTTTGAGGAAAATAAAAAGACCATCAATGCCCAAAGAAACACGGTCACCGTCAACAAGTAAAGGGAAGAATTCTGCTGACTTTGTAAATGCACAACTGAACACTGATTAACTTTACATCATGCTCTTAGTGTTTTAATTAATGGGAGCTCAACATTGTGCGACTTGACATGACATATTAACCCTTTTCCATTAAAAAGCTAGAGCAACAACTGTCTTTTTTCATTTTAGAGTAATGTCTACTTTGCTGTCATATATTTCACAGGTCTTAACTGTAGAATGTGAATGTTTTATTGAATGTGAGGCAGAGAGAGTGTTTGAATGTTCACTGTTTGTTTTTTTGACTCCAACGCCGAATGAGGTACACAGTAAAATGGCGATGCATTTATAGGTATTTATAAGGTTAAAACATCATAACCTGGTCAGGACCAGCACTAGTTACCTTAGTGATCCAGCTGGGTTAAAAGAGAGCCACCTATGTGGTACAGGAAAGCCTGGCTTTAAAATCAACATAACTCGCTAACCCACTAAATTAGCTCCGTCGTATACCCCTCAGGTCTCGTTGGGTCACCTTTAATAACAACAAAAACAACAGAGCGGCTGTGTCTCACCTGGACTGTTGTTCAGGGCTGAGCTGACGTCTGATTCAAGTCTTGATACAACAGGACAGAAGACCACACAGTAGTCACAGTCCTCAGGACTTACACTTTCCCTCTGACCAGAGTTTGTCAACGTCTTCACAATCTTGTTGTGAGTGTTGTTAGTTTGTCCCGCCACAAAGACGTAGAAGGTTTTCCAGGGCCCTGGAGACAAACATAAAGGATGGAGATTGAAGTAATCACAGCAGCTGCTCCTCCTAACTGTTATTAAAAACATACCAACGTGTACGTTACATCGCAGGTGTCAAACTCAGGCTGCGGCCCCGAGATCATGTCAAACGTGTACCAAAGTTGACCCACCAGTATATAGACCCTGTATGTGTAGTATCAACATAGTTATGTTTTGGTTGTTCCAGATTCAATGTTTCCATATGAAAAAAAATCTACATTAAGATCTGGAGATGAAAGAAAATATTTGGCTCACGACTTTGTCCCGGTTTTTAATTAAAAGTTAAAACCTTCATCATCATTACTCTCGTGAACCTCCTGAAAAGCTCATACTGTGAAGCCGATACACGAGCGTTGGCTCCGACCGTGATCTGATCGTCGAATGCATTCATAACACTACTGTTTTTGTTTGAAGTTACCTTTCGTCGTTTGTTCTTCTGGAGTTCCTCTGGAAAGTACACAAACACAGGAAGAGTTCGTCAGAGTTTAACAGTGACAACAGAGCAAGTACACGGTGGAACCGAGGGGGGCGCCGTACCCTGGAGTTTCCTCCTGTTCTAGTCGTCGACGACTCATGCTGGAAATGAAGGAGTCTATTTGACATCACATGTTGTCCATCAAATCTCTCTATATAATATACAGTATATATCCAGTATAATCTGGCCTCAGTTGTTCCACTCTGCTGTATTTACAGGAAGTGTCTCAGGCCCCGCCTCAAAGACTCTTGTTTAACACACACACACACACCAAACATCCAAGACCTAAATTCAGATCACACAACATGAATGTCACCTGACAACATGAAAAGATTGTTGTTTTCAGTTTTCACGTTTGAACCAAAGTCCATAATTTAATACATAGTTTAACATAAACGTGTCTGTGTTTACTACTGAAAAGATAGAAGAATCAGATCGGTGAGGACGTTTAAAACAGGCCCAAAGATGACCTGAAGTTAATAGTTTAAATAGCTAACAATCAAAATAATTAATTTATAAACAACTCTTGTTTAACTTTAATTGCCATTTTTTTTAATTGCCATTTTCAGATTTTCACTGCAACGGTATTAATGTTTAAAAACGAAACTTTAAATAACACTTTCACTCGTTTGTATTACGTCCGTCGTCGCGAAGCTAAAATTCCCAGTAGTCTGTAAAGGCAGCAGCAGATGCAGTTTGTTGTATGAGTTGTTTTCAGCGGGTGGTGGGCGTTCCTCTGAACCACAACAAGAACAAGGGGGGGGGGGGCTATAAACTACTCTGCTCAGATTGTCTTGCTGCTGATGAACGTGTGTCCAGATTTCTTTCACCCAGTAGAGGTCCCTGATCTCACGGGAGTTTTCTTTCCAGCGCAGGCAGCGTGGCCTCCTCCTCCTCCTCTCGTCCTGCTCCTGCTCCTGCTCCTGGCGGGGGGAGAGGCGGGCGGAGAAGGACGAGGGTTCGCAACAGAAATGGAGGCTGGACCCTGGTCCCTGTAGAGGGAGTGAACAGTGGGGAGGTAGGCTTCTGTCCACTCCGACTGTCCACGGTTTCATCTCTGATGAGCAACAATAAATGCGGTTAACGGCTGCTGTTAGCCGCAGCTAAACTCTTCGTTTCTGTTAGCTTCCTCACCTCGTTGTTACATACAGTAACGCGATACCATATATTATTGAATCGACGGTCAGCAGTAATATTGTATCTCACTTTACCCCATATCAACAAGATTATAACATGTAATTTAAACGTCTTTATGTACGTTTCGTTGTTTTTTCTCTCTCAAGAAGCCAATATTACGAAGCGACCATAAACGTCTCATTCAAGAGGCACGTCCACATACAAAGAGTACGAATTATATTGTGTCTAGAATGTTGACATTTTCTGTTAGCGTAGTTTTAAAAAGTTCAATATAAAACAGATTTTTTAAATAAATAATTCAGTCATGTTAGGTGGAACCATACCATGTATATGTTGTAGGTTTTTGTTGCTGATGTTTCAAATAATTCATTGACATAAAATAACCTTAAAAGAAAATGGAACTTTGCGCTTGATTAGCGCGATTTAAAAATGTAAACATGTTTAATAAATATGATTGTAGATGTAGAAGTTCTGAGGTTGATGATGTCTGTTCTAAACTCACCCGCCTCCCCAACACAGCCCAAACACTAACCCCATCAGAACCTGTAAATATCGTTATTTTAAAATGTAATTTAAAAAATGATTATTTTTTTTTAAATATTTTTTTACTTTCACAGGTGAATTCTCCTACAATGGAATCTGCCAACATCACGGAGGAAATGTCGCCTCTGTCTGTGCCAAGAAAAAGAAAGTCTGCTCAGATGCACTTCAAAGGTGGATCACTTTGTCCAGGTGGGGAAATATATGACGGTTCTGTTTACCCATGATGCAACAGGAACTTGAGAACATATCATTGTCTTTTCCACAGTTGTGCAGAGAATTCCTGACAGAAGCTTTGGCTCAACTGAAGTCAGACCAAAGGTGAGACGATGTTTATTCAATTGACTATTTCTGTGTAAATGTCAGGTCCTCCCCCAGACCTCACCCTTCACCCTTCACCCTCACCCTTCACCCTCATCTTCACCCTTCACCCTTCAACCTTAAGAGTTTGAAGTTACTGTTTTTGATTATTCATGTTGTGTATCTTCACACCTCTGTTTTAGAACGTCTTGTCTGACGATCAGGAGGCCGTGAAAATGAAGAGGATGTGTCGGAGAAAAAGGTACAGACGAAACCAGCAGGGGGCTCTATTCATTAATAATAATATAAATGACTCAGGTTGAACATTTTCAAGTACTTTCTGAAGGAGTCACAGTATTTCATTTGTTTATTTCTCAGATACCAGGATCTGTCCTGTGTTTCTGTTGGACCAGACCCAACCACCAGCTGCTCTGTGATGTCATCAGCTGACCTGGCCAATGGAGGTCACCCGGGATCAACAGCTCCACCTACAGTAACACTTCCTTCCAGTGAGGACTCATGGTCCCATCAGCCTGACGGCAGCAAAGAGCGCTCCCAGCCTCATGACCAAAGCTGGAAGGAACCGAACCCTAATGACTGGGGTCCAGGTGGAGACCGAGACCAAACATGGTTATCAGGCAGGAACAGGACTCTTTCAGGACAGGAGCAGACCCGGATGACAGGCCGGGGCCGAGGTCCAGAGCAGAGCTGGGGTGCTGCCAGAGATCGAGGCCATGATCAGGCCTCGCAGGAACCAGGAAGGAACCAGGGAAGAGAAGACCAGGGCTCGTCAGTGCAAGAGCAGGCGTGGGAATCTGGAGGAAACCAGGAGCCAGTGTGGAGCCAAGACATGTGGAGACCTGGTACATATTCAAAAAAGGACCACAAGTTTGGTTTAATGTTGAATTTACACAGATTTGATCACATACATTTTTCCAGAAATAGTTTGATTTTTGTAGAAGGCAACATTCCAAAAGAATCCAGAAAAATTGTGATTTTTTTTCTTTTTTTTGCAAAACGTGTGGTTTGAACCACCAACCAACCTGGCCCAGAAATAGTTTTAGAGAAAAAACACACTTTGCTTCTTTGTGTCTAATTTAAAAGAGCTGAACATGAAGTTCAAAAAAGCAAAAAAGGAGCAAAACATCGCAGTTATTACCTCCTTACAACCACCAGAGGGCAGTAGCTCTTGTGAGTCAACAATTATACTCGTTTTTTTAAATCATAAACAACTCTTAACTACTCTGCAAAATCTGTTAATTTATCTGTTTTGGTTTATTTTAGCTACACAAACAAACAACATGTAAATATGTTTTGTTTTTTCCAAACTTTGTTTAAAATTCATTTTTCTGTGTCTAAACTGTGACTTTTTGTGGACCTAGACACAGCAGATGTTGGCAAAGCCTCTCCAGCTCCCCCTACAGGAGAACAGACACCTGCATTCACCAACCTTTTTCCTAAAAAAGAACCTCCCACGTACCCCCCAGGTGAGAACTCTAAACCACTGCAGGGGAAATTCTGCAAGAATCCCACTCTGGCCTAATCAAACAGTGGCTCGAGGTCCTAATGCAGGCAAGTCACAACCTCCGAGTGGCCCGGTCTAACAGACATGCCCACAGTGCAGAGGACCATGAATGCATCACTTGTGTGTCTGGAAGTGTCAGCGTTTTACACTTTGTAAAAATTTACAAATTTGGACTTTTGACCTGATTCACATAGACAGTTCTTACGGTTCAGTTTGGGTCTGTCACATTCACCAGGAAGTCAAGAGGAGCGCTGGCAGCTCCAGATCGTGGCCAAAGGCAGAGTCGCCTGTCCCAAATGTAGGAGTGTGAGCAGGAAGACGGTGGAGGGGCTGAAGAAACACATGGGGAACTGCAGACTGGTGAGTCCATGGATCATCTTCTGGACTCTGCAGTCGATGAACACGAACTTGTGAATTGATTTGCAGGAACTGTTCACCTGTCAACACTGTGGGAAACAGCTGAAGTCTTCAACAGGGATGAAGTATCACGTCATGGCCGACCACAGCCATCTGGTAAACACCGTTACAACTCTGAGGAGGCAGGTGTTTCCACTGGAGTCACTGCTTTAACAAACCCGTGTGTGTGTGTGTGTGTGCGCAGCCTGCAGTTGACAACACCAAGGACCTGGACGACCGCGACGTTAAAGATAAGCTGCGCACAATTCTGAAGAGGCTCGGCAAATTAAAATGTTCCAAAGAGGTAGAGTGGTACAGGAAAGTGGGTTGTGGCCCAGAACGAAAAGTAACGTATGATTAGAGTCGACACTTGTTTCTTTGTTTCATACTCAGGGCTGCCACGCTGCCTTCACCAGTATTATGGGCTACATTTACCACACGAGGAAGTGTGGGAAGGAGAAGTCGGAGCTGGAGAAGATGCTGCTGAACTGTTCTCACTGTGGGAAACCCTACAGATCCAGAGCTGGCCTGGAGTACCACCTGAAGTCAGAGCACGCTCCTGTGAGTCCTGGGGTTTTACTGTGGACTGGACCAGCTGATTGGTGTCGGTAGTGTTGCTCTCTGGCGTGCTAGCATCCACCGTGACTCACCCAAGTTAGTCTAAGCTAACAGTTGTATCAACAGATCTAAATCTTCTGACCAGTATTATTGGTAAATACATACTGGGTGTAGTAGTCTGACTGAGCAAGTACAACCACAGTGAGCAACATTATAATTATGTACAGACCGGGACTTACCTGAATCAAGCAGACAGGTCCAAATTGGATCTGCTAAAGACCAGTTCTAGCTACAGACATCGTGTGCTCATTTAAGTACGTTGAGGGGAACCGTCAGCTCGTCTCTTCTGTGTGTCTCAGACAGCCCAGGCCACGGACGAAGATGAGGCCCTGAAGGCCCCGTCGGAAGCCAACACAGAGAGGACGGCCAGCGGCAGGGTTCAGCGAGCCTCCGCACAGGTGGCTAACTTCCACTTAGCAGAAATTGCCAACAACGATCTGCCCAAAGACTGGCCAAAGAGGAAGTTTCCGTCTGACCTGGTGCCTGATGACCAAAAGGCAAGAGAAGACGTGTGTGTGTGTGTGTGTG